TAGGTGGCGATCTTAAATGGGTGAGATGGAAATGAGAGCACACATTAAAGCAAGAGTAAATTCCAAAGGTTTCAAAGAACTTGGTCATAAATATGATAATGAGAAGACAAAGTATTTATATTAAAACAGTTAAGTAGCTTTCAGTTTTGTGAAAATAGTTTTCAGCACAGAAACTGACTTCTTTAGGCAAAGTTTTAACCAATGATGGTGTTTGCTTCTAGGATCTATGCTCTAAAAGAACTCACTGTCCCAGTGGTGGCCATTGTTGGCCTTTAGTAAATCAGAGCTGCTTCCCCATATTGATATCTAATTTCTTTTAAACACAATGAATTGTCCTTATTACCAACAGTGAAGCACTACAGGAGGCAATTGTGGCATTGCTTCCTTAACCAGCTCATGGTGTGTGAATGTTATAAAATTGTCACTCAGATATATTTTTTAAATGTAATGTTATATAAGATGATCATGTGATGTGTACAAACTATGGTGAAAAGTGCCAGTGGTAGTAACTGTGTAAAGTCTCTAATTCACAACATTAATTCCTTTAAAATACACAGCCTTCTGCCTCTGTATTTGGAGTTGTCTGTACAACTCATCAAAGAAAACTGCCTAATATAAAAATCATATATATGGTAATAATTTCCCTCTTTTGTAGTCTGCACAAGATCCATAAAAGATTGTATTTTTATTACTATTTAAACAAGTGATTAAATTTAGTCTGCAAAGTGAGCAAGAGTTCACATGCATTCTTTTATACTGCTGGATTTTGTTGTGCATCATTTAAAACATTTTGTATGTTTCTTCTTATCTGTGTATACAGTATGTTCTTGAATAATGTTCATTTGTCAGGAGAACTGTGAGAAATAAACTATGTGGATACTGTCTGTTTATATTATAAAATGCTTGTTGTGATTTCCTTTTGGTTAGATTTGGATTTTTTACCAATGTTAAAACCAGAAAACTGTTTTTTTTTTTTTTTCTGTCCTTTATAAAGAAGTAAAGAATATATTAGGGAAAATTTTGAAAGTCAACTTGACATCTGTAAAAGATGGTAGTCTTTTCAATTAGTATGTGCTAAAACAGTTAAAATGTTTACAAAAAGGAAAGAGAGACTGTGGTTAAAGAAAAAGGCAGTTATAAATGCCTAGGTGTGAAAAGTTGAGATATTTTATTCTAGATGCTTCCCAACATCCCGATGCTGGGGATTGAACCCAAGGCCCTCATGCATGCTGTGCAAGTGCTCTACCACTAAGCCACATCCCCAGCTCTACTCTTAATTGTTTTTGATGAAAATAAGTCCCGTGGATTTAAGCAGGTGGTTTCCTGGAAAGTATTGTTAACTGGGAAAAGATAGTATAAATATTCCAAGATGGATTAAGTATATTATTCCAGATCTAATTTTTAGAGTTGCTTGGTTTTTTGTATTTTTAAATCTAAGGAATGTTATTTATTAGCTCTCTTCAATACATAGCAGGATATTAAAAATCTACCCTAAGTTTTTTTAAATTAAGTAATGAAATTTTAAATATAGAAATATGAGAATTTTAAAGTAATATATTAATTAAAGATCACTGGTGATGTTGATACAATATATCATAATCAGAAAGAAAAATTGATGAACTTCTCACCCTGAAATTATTAGTGAGTGGAAGAGGGGAATTGTTAGCATTCTAGACTTTTTATATTAAATGTTATGTGCATATGCCAGAAGATCTGCCTTCAACCTGTAGTTAGGCAAGACAGTAGCACTTGTTGGGAAATTCTGTAACTTCTGTGTTTGTATAGAAATAGTACCAGTTAGTTTTGGAAAACCATTCAGATCTATTCAAAATTCCATAAAGAATGAACTGTTCTTTGGAAGAGGGCAATGAGTGGTATAATTGTTATATAAATAGAATAGACAAAATAACTCAGTTGAATGCGTTTTCAAGGGCAAAGAAGACTTTTTGGTGTTAAAGAGGATTATTTTCTGCCTGAACAGAAGGTGTGTTTATTTTGAATTCTTCAGCTCAAAGCAATTAGTCCTCCTGGCTTTAAGAGGTTCTAAAGGATAGTAGTAGCAAAGGTTTTGTTTTGTTGTTGAGGGTTGCAGGAATAGACAGGGCTGTCATTTGCATGTAGACTTCCATCTGTCTACACAGAAATATTGGCTACTAAAAAACAAGTAGATTGGAGATCTACTTATTAAAATATTGCTTATTAAGTAGTTCTTAGTAGGTCAGATCTGTTTCCTGGTATATATTATGCTCAAATTAATTACTAATGACTGAAGAAACTTTTAATGATGCCTAAAATCACTGCTATAAGGTTTAGGCAGAAGAGGTTTCCTTTGGTGTGACAAACACTGACATAGCACTTACTACGTGCCAAGCAAGCATATACTAACTAATTTAATTCTCTGCAATCCAGTGAGACAGGTTCATTTAGTATCCTGTCTAGCCAGAGAGCCATTAAATAACTTGCCCAAGGTCATATAATTAATAAAGTGGTGATGCTTGACTTTAATCTAGACAGATCAGTCCAGACTCGGTGTCTGCCTCACTGTTCTGAGTAAGAATATTCCTGTTGTGTCAGGTATCCCTGAAGTAATAGGAGTGGAGCTGTGTGGGACTGGTTTGTGTGGTTGCTGGAATATAAACCTGAGCATATGTCTGGGTTTGTAGCACAGGAGAGAAGCCTATGCATGGATGGGGGGAAAGCACTAAAAGATTTTGCTCTTGTGAATTAGGAAAACACATATGCATGTTGGGTGCTTCTCACTTACTTATATTTCTCCCCTTCCCCTTTTGTTTAAATTAAATCACAGAACATAACAATTTACTGAGGTGTGAGGAACATTTTTTAAAAATAGGGAAAATAGTATCACATATTAATTATTTTGTGGAATTTATTTTTCAGTTATAAGAAGTGTGGATGTTCTATATAAACTGTTTCTTACTGTGGATGATAGGTTGGAAGTCCATTATTCTAGATGCACTGGATGAAACTGGGAGTCTCCAGATTATAAGTAGCTTTTTTTTTTCCATAAGATTATGAAGGCATTGTTCTTTTCAGGCCATAAAGTATTTGTTTGAAATTTTTTACCTTGATGAAAATGTACTGCTGTTCATATCCCAGAAATAAAACCTTTTTTTTTTCTTAGTTTATAAAGCAGATTAGTGGATTTTTGGAAGTTGTGTCATATTTAGCTTCATGAGAACAGAGACCATCCATGTCTTTTTGTGTGTGTAGGGCCTGACTTTTAAAGATTCTCCATAAATATTTGTTGGTTGTATGACCAAAGTTTTGGTGAGCTACATTTTTTTTTCCCCCTAGGAAGTTAGGAGACAGCCCCAATACCTGAGTGTGCCTGATTCCTACAGGGCTTGTATCAGGAGAGCCCTTCACAGGGCCTGGGAGGACAGGGGAGTTGCCTCCTCCCTTATCTGGAGGATATGGTTCTACTCTGAATGGCTAAGAAGGTTTTAGTCCAATATGCCATCTCAGTTAGGTCACCTCTCTGGATTCCCAGTCTGTAATGTTTTGAGAGAATAGTGGAAAGACACTAGAGTGGAACTTCTGGGTCTTAGTCCAGTTGTGGAAAGTGAAGCACTCTGTTGACAGCCTTGTTTCATTGAGCTCTAGGAACCAGTAACTTGTTTGATCCCCACAACTCCTCTCTGAGGTTGATCACTATCATGATCTCCACTGCACGAATGAGCAAACTGGAGGTACAGAGAATGTTAAGTATGTTAGCCCTTTAGTCCTGTGTGGGGCTGGGGATACAAAGCCCTGCCTTTATGAAGCTTCTAGACTAATGTAGAAGAAAAGCAATAAACAAAGTTTTAAAAAGTACTTAAAGCAGAGATACATGCTGTGAAGAAAAATATGGCTTGAAGAAAAATAATAATGGGAGGATGTGGAACATTGCCATTTTATATAAAATAATCAAGGAAAGCCTCCATGACAAGAGTATATTAGAATGTCAGAGACCTGAATGGAGTGAGGAACTTTGCTGTGGGGATGATCTGTAGGAAGAGGCAGAAGGACAGCAAGGGAGGGCTCTGAGCCAGGAAGGAGCTTGGTGTGCTCAGCAGCATTGTGATGGCCAGTGAAGCTTGAGCCAAATGAGCAGGAGGAAAGTAGTAGCTGATAGGGTCAGAGAGGGTGCAAGGTCAGTTCAGGTGTGGCCTTGAGTATAGCTCATCATAAAGGAGTTTGGATTGTGTTTGGATGTATCCACATACATATATGGCCTTTTGCTAGGCAGAGGTCCTTTCCTGTTTTAAAATCCTATGACTTTAAGGTAATGATGACTTTTCAAGCCATTCAAATAAGTAAAATGTGTTTTAGTAGTAGACCAGGTACTTTTCAGGGGTAGAGCCCTTTACCTCTGCTGATTTTTCAAGATGGCTGCCGACTGTAGCCATAAAAGCCATTGGCTGGGCTTGTCTGCCTCTTTGCTGTCTCATTTCCCTTACCCACACTGTCAAAGCTCTGGTGGGCACGGGCTGTGTTTGCCCATCTATGGTATGTTTTGGAAGAATGTTAATCCCTACAAAGAGTCATTTTATGTTTTCTGGCACAACTGATAACTTTCATTCTGTAATTTTTTCTCCTTCACTCAAATACTCTTTAGGCTTCCCTATAGAAGTGTGACAACTTGGGGCGGTAATAAAGTATTTGACAACTGTGTTGAGTTGTGGGAACATGCTGCACCCTTTCTGTTAATAGAAGTGTAATTGTAACCAAAGAAATTTAATTTCTTCTCTAGCAAACACTGACATTTCTGTTTAAGAACAAATGTTAGAGAAAAAGGAAATATGAAAATTACCATGTATCACGAATACATTAAGTATTCTCTTTGTAATAGCTCAAATCTGGTCTGTGGCCAAAATTAAAACCATATAAACGGATCATAAATCTTAGCTATTACTGTGTTTGCTTCTAATTCTGTTTTGAATAAGGCTTCAAATGCTTTCCAGAATGATGTGAGTTAAATAAATAGAGAAAGAGTTATCCTGTCTTCCATTTATTTTATTTGTACACATCCATTTCAAGAAAAAAATGACTTTAAAAATACAATTTTGTCGAAATGGATCCTTATTTGCACAACCATTGAAGAAAAAAAAATCATGCAAACTGAAACTCTGGTCTTTTGTAGTGATTGAGTGGAAGATGCAGTTATTTCAGTAGAATATAGAAGCTCTGATTAGACAACTGCGCACAAAAGAGAACCTGAACTTCACTGATTTGATGCAAGGTTTGCAAACCCCAGGAAAGGGCCCACATGAAACAAATACAACATTGGAATCTGTAAGACACCTGCTTATTAACATGCTCCTCCCACCCATGTCAGTTTTTGTTATTGTTACTGTATTTTTTACTTGTCTGCAAGTGGATGATAACTTGGAATCAAAATTATAAGATGGTTATTTGTCTAAGAAACGAATAACAAATCATCCCATGCTTTTACTTTGGTCAGTTTATAATTTTAAATTGTTAATTTATAATTGCTGAAATGCACCACCACTGTGTACAGAGGAGTTGAGATTACACAGCGATCAGATTTGTTCTCTTAGCCATTTTGAAAATATTCCAAGTAGCTAAATAGAGAAAAAATAACCAGTGTTACTGATGGGTAACATTGGTTACCCTTGGCCTGGGTTTTTGCCATCTTGGAAAAGCTATACAATTTCACATTTTAAGAAATTTCAATCAAATTTTACTCTCTTGATGCTTCTATATATGCTGTACATGGCATTGTCTAATCATCCCACTCTGGTTCTGAGCCACTAGTGGATGGGAAGTGAAGAATCAGCCAGCTACCAGAGGAAGATGTGCCCACGCCTGCCTCCTTGTTCAGGACCTTCATCAGGGAACGGCATATAAATTTTGGGGAGAAGGAGGAAGATGTGATGGGGAGTTAGGGATGCTGGCTCCTTTTCTGATGAGACTAGAACCAGCTGATCAAACAAGTCCCTGCACTGCACTGTCACAACCTGACCTTGCCCTGAGGTGCAGCCTACATGATAGGTATGTGTGCTGGAGCAAGGGCAGCTGTGTGTGTGAAGAGGCTGATGGTCCCAAGTATACCGTGCATGGTTTCCAGACACCTCTCACACGACTCTAGCTGGGAAGCAAACAGTGATGTCACGATTTGGGGGGACACAAGGCTTAACTTGAAACAACATCATGTTAAAAGATGAACCTTTTAATGTTTTCCTGTCTCCATTCTGAACATACATGCATTTTTCGCCTTCAGAAAATAGAGTCAATAGCTGTGCAGAGCTGAAGAAAAACTTCTTCTGGCGTTCCTTCTGCATTTATCTATATTTAAAAGGAAAAAAGAGAAAGTCTTAAGACACATTTGTAAATGAGATTTCTTTCCCCCGATAATGGGGATTAAACCTACAGGTGCTCTACCACTCAACAAGCTATATCCCCATCCCCCACCCCTTTTTTTGAGACAGGGTTTCACCAAGTTGTCCAGGCTGGACTTGAACTTGTGATCCTTCAGTCTCAGATCTCTGAGTAGGTGGGATTACAATCATGTGCGACCATACCCAGCTAAAGTAAATTTTTAATAATGGGGGAAAAAAAAGATTACCTACTTTTGCTTGGCAAAATTTAAAAACATAAGACCTTGAGAGGAGCTGGGGTTGTAGCTCAGTGGCAGAGCACTTGCCTGGCATGTGTGAGGCACTGAGTTCGATCCTCAGCACCACATATAAATAAGTAAAAAATAAAGGCACATCAGCAACTAATATATATATATATATGTGTGTGTGTGTGTGTGTATACATATATGTATACATATATATATGTATAAATAATCCACAGAGAATGAAGAGTAATTGTTTAAAAAAAAAGAATACCTTCATAGAAAAAAAAAAAAAAACCCTGAGAGACATGGAAAAGGAACATAGTACCAATGGGGGAAAAATCAGAAATGAGATGAAGAATCAGTAGATATGATCAAAGCACACCATTACAACTCAGTGGTATTTAATAGTTTGGCTCTGCAGTGGAAAACATTTATTTGGTCATAACAATGAGAAAAACAACAACAACAGTGAGCTACCACTAGGTATCAGAATTCCTAAACTAAATTCCAAACACCATATAGTTGACTAGAATGTACAGCAACCGCAACACTCACTGCTGGCAGGAATGAAAAAATGATAGAGGTGCTTTGGGAGACATTGTAGTTTATTGAATTATATCCATCAGTTGCATTCCTGGGTGTTTACCTAAATGAGTTGAAAACTTAAATCCACACAAAAATCTACACATGGATGTTATAGCAGCTTTATTCATAATTGACAATACTAAAAAGTTAACTGAGATGTCTTTCAGTATTTGGTAAACAAACTGGTAGAATATTATTCAGCCCTAAAAAGAAATGAGCCACGAAGCCGTGAAAGACACAAAGGAAACAATCATGTTACCAAATGACAGAAGCCAATCTGAAAGGGCACATAACTGTATAGTTGCAACTATAATGACATTCTGAAAAAGTAAAAAAATAACCGAGACAAAAGAAGACCAGTGTTTGCCAAGGGTGGGGGAGGAGGGAGGGTTAAATGGGAGGATTTAAAGATTTAAAAGATTTAAAGTTAAATGTGGATTTTTAGGGCAGTGAAATTGCTCTGTATGATGCCATAATGGCATATATAAAAACATTATAAACATTATAAATTGACCCAGACTCATATAACGTGCAACGCTCGGAGTATTGTTTAAACCCTAGACTTTGGGTGATAATGATGTGTCAATGTAGGTTCATCTATTATAACAAATTACCAATCTGGTGGGAGGAGTTAGTTGAGATCATAGTGGGGTGGTATTTGCAGATTCTATTTCATGTTTGATTTTGCTGTGAACCTAGAACTGCTCTAAAGTACAAAGTCTATTTAAAACAATAATAGCAACAAACTCGGTGCCCTGTTTATGCAAAGTGTTATTAGAGGTCCCAGAAATATTTGGAGTTACCTAAAATGAAGCTTCTGAGTGGTCTGAAGCACGTGGAGTGGGGTGGGATTAGGGCAGGAGAAGGGGTTGAGGGGTAGTATATGGAAAAGAAAGCAAAAGCTAAGACCTCCATGTGGAGATACTCAAGTGCTGAGTTTGCTTGGAGGTTGTTGATTCCCCAGCACACGGAGCCAACAACAGAGGAAGGAGGAAGAGGAGCTGGTTTCCTGGGCCTGAAGGCACTGCCCTTTCCTCTTTGCTAACATCTATAGCACCCATCGCTTAAGATCTGTTCCATCATACAGGTAACATCTACAGGAAGTGGGGCCTGACCAAGCACCAGAGGCACCCAGAAGGCCAGGATAATGTTGGTGCAATTAGGCTAGGAAGGGAAAGCTGTCGAAGCAGACTGTTTTCATGGGGCCAAAACATGTAGTGGAAGAGTTGGGGAGAAGATCAGGTTCTGTATTGGGAAATATATCAAGTTTCTGGTCCCCAGGAATTTGTAGGAACACAAACATTCAGTACAGTTCTTTGGTGAATAATGCAAGTTCTTGGCCTTAGTGATCCAATTCTTTGTCCTTGGTGCACACATTTTCCAAAATCCACTTCAGATGTTTACCAGAAGTGGAAGCTAATTAGACTAGGGATTGACCTCAAGTCACCATCTGCTTCAACTACGTGTTGAGTTTTCTCCTTATTCGTTACCTAATTGATGGGTGCCTGTAATGAAAACTTTTTTGGCCTCGGTGATGCCCTCAGCTCCATCTGGACAAACCCCAACCCTGTTCTGGGCCTTCTGGGCCTCACAATGTTGACAGTATTTTGCAGCAGCATCTTCTTTATCTGTTCTCCAGTGTCTTACTAAACTCTACTAATCCCCTGAACTTAACTGATGTATCATGGTTCTATTTCTACTAACTAGTGTTGAAATAGTTCTTCTGCCAGTCCATCTTCTGTAATCAATACTAACCAAAACTCTCCAACCATGTGTATATATGCATTTCCAAAGTTGTCCTTCTTCAAAAAGAAACCCATGCCCATGATTTCCTTTTTGTTTGTGGTACTGGGGGCTGAACCCAGGAGTACTCTACCTCTGAGCTGCACCCCCAACCTATTTTTGAGGCAGGATCTCACTAAACTGCCCAGGCTGGCCTTGAACTTGTGATCTTCCTGCTTCAGACCCCTGAATCGCTGGGATTATAGATGCCATGCGCCATCAAGCCTGATGATTCCCATATTCTTATCTCCCAACAAATAATGCATCATGTTTTTCTGAACACTGATTTTAGTACAAAAGAAAAAATTTTCAAAGAACACTGATTAAGTCCGCTCTAGTTTTCTCCGTTTTTTTTTTTTTTTTTTGGTAATTGATAAGTTGTTGGTTCTATATTACACTCACATCATTTGGATTGACCATTATCCAGGATTCCTTGTAGTTGAAAACACAGTTTGTTCATCATAACAACCTTTTAATCCAGTGTGTTACCTTCCTTCTTTTACCACCACAAAGAAATAACAGCTCCTTTGACACCTTCAGCTGGTTGCAATTCACTATGAGGTTCAACTTTTACTTCTTGGACAGCTATAACCCAGCATTAGCCCAAATAGCTGTATGTCATTAAAGAAAAAAATTACTCAAATGATATTTATTAAAACATAATAAGGAAGACTTTATTCAGGACCATTGTGATAAGTATAGGAACCACAGTAATGGGATTCTGCAGTGAGGGAGAGACACTGGGCTCAACTCTGAATACAGCATGGGTAAGTAAGAATTCATGTTAAGGGAAGGGGGGTGGTCAGTGGATATAAAATTACTAAGAGTAACATCAAGACCAGGGACTCACTAAACCTAACAACTCTTGCTGAAGACAAGCCTGCATGATCAGACATCACAGGCGTAAGGGTGGGGAGGGGGAAGAAGGAACCTGATCAGATATCCGCAGTGATTGTGGGGGTGGGGGACTTTTGCTAAACTGATTTAGCAGAATTCGTGGCTAAAATTGTTTTTTTATATGGAAGAACACACATGGGTCTAAAAGAAGTGTTAGGAGCCTGACTGAAGATTGGTCAAGCAGAGAATCTTTGCCAACGTCCAGCTAGACATTAAGTTCTGAGGACGTTAGTCACCTTTGTAATTCCCAGGGCCTGGCTCTAGTAGATAGGAGGTGGAGTGAAAGATGGTGTCCACTATTTTCACATTGCCTCTTCCTTTCCTCACAGAAATAAGCTGTTGTGGGGGCAGAATTATGCTCTTAGGAGCCCGTCTTGTGGCCCACATTCTGGACTTCATGGTAGGATAGGGATTCTCTTCTCATTAAAACCAGGCAACCTGGTTCCAGCACAGAAGGCCACTGAGCACAGAGTCTGGAGGGACTGTGTGATTCTCTGAGGGTCTGGAGGTTCCTCAGTAGGATCCTACCAATCAGTCAGGGCAGGTGTTCTGGGGGAAGCTGGTGGCTGGTCTCCAGAGCTTTCGCTGGACTCACTTCTATTTCCACCCCTTCCTTCTCATTGTGCTTTATGGGTTAAATGTTTATTTAATTATTTAAGTAATTTAAGTATTAACTGGATTTATTTTTTTATTTTATTTTTTTTTTTAAAAGAGAGTGAGAGAGGAGAGGGAGAGAGAATTTTTTTTAGTATTTATTTTTCAGTTCTTGGCAGACACAACATCTTTGTTGGTATGTGGTGCTGAGGATCGAACCCGGGTCGCACGCATGCCAGGCGAGCGCGCTACCGCTTGAGCCACATCCCCAGCCCTAACTGGGTTTATTTAATTAAATAAAACTGCTTCTGGCCACCCAACCAGAGACTACAATGTGCTTGTCTCTGTGGAACTCCAAACATACAGAGGTTTAAATAATGAAGCTTTCTAGATGGAAAAGGGGAGTGGGAATTCTATTAGGCAATCCAGGACCCTCCTTAGACCTATGAAGCAAAGTTTGGGAATCAAATTCGAGAGGCAATGAGGCAACTTCTTTTTTCCTCACACAAGGGTTTTGTGTGGTGTGTGTGTGTGTGTGTGTGTGTGTGTGTGTGTGTGTGTGTGTGTAGTGAGACAGGCTGGATTCCTGGAATGGATTTTTAAGAAGCAAAAGAAAGTCCAGCTGACTGGGTAAGACCAGAGTCTTTTGTGTCCTTTCCATATTTCTCCCTTAGTTCTTCACATGTTACCTCGACTCTTTCAGAATCTCCAATTCCCGCATGGAGAATATTTTAAGAGGAAAAGTAAGTGGCTCTTATATTTCAACATATAACTGCAATTCAAAGAAAATAGAAAAGAACCAACTAACCAGTGCCTTCTAAGTTACAGAAACTATTCTCTTGATGCTTACAGCTTCAGCAGATTT